TGACATCCCTTGAAAATGCTTTTGGCTCATCTTATTTTAAGATCACAAAGCCAATGACATTATTTGATCAATGTTGTCTTTGTTCATCAACATTAACCATGCAGAGATCGGTTAAAAGCAAACAATATAGATATTATATCCGATCATTTAATTAAATAAGTAGATTCAAGAAGATAAATAAAATGATTTACTTATATTTGGACTTAATTATAGGACTGTCAAAAAGCAAAAAAGAATATAAGTTTTAAAATCATATCAACGTTAGGATTTCAACATTTTAAGACAACTTACTTAATATAAACCCAGCCAATGTAAAAATAGTAGACTATATATGATATACAACATGATAGTTAACTATATTTGGTCAACCAAGCACATGAACTGAGCAGGGATTTGAAAACCCTAATTTGGGATGGAAATCTTCAAACCCGAAATTTCCATGCACCTTCTTAGAGCTGAGACGATTGCGCCTTTGGTCCAGTTTGGTGGGCCACACACGTGAAGAATCTTAATTTTGTCCGAACGCGAAGAATGGTCCTGATTGAAGGACTTTCCGACAATAGACAATTATGGAAAGGAAAAACATTGAAATTCCGCCAATCAAGGAATAGCTTTAAGTTGACTTGACTAGAGAATGCAAAATTGCTGTTTCGGTGGTGCTCCGCCGTTCGCGGATTTCCAAAATCCCATTTCCGAATAAAATTGAATTTCGTATGTGGATGGAAATACGTGACGTCGGTAATAAATTTGAAATGTGGATGATAACGAACCCAATAGTAGATTATCACTTGCTATCTTTTATTTTACAAGTGAGTGCGTAAATGTTCGTAAGTTACCAACGAAATTAAGATTTTATCATTCAGAAATTCAGCAGTAAATTGCCATTTATTTTAGGTTCTACAAGTAGGCGCACGACTTTTTGCAATTTGTCGATTGAAATAACATTTCTACCGTCCACAAAATCCAATAGCAGTTACCACTTATTTTTAGATTTTAGATTTTATTAGTAGACGTGTAAGTAATTGTTTGTATAATACCAATTAGATAACAATCACATCGTCCACAAATCTAATAGTAAATTAGCACTTTTTATATATTTTATAAGAAGGTACGTAACTGTCTGTAAGTTATTAATGAAATAACAATTTTATCCACAAGCTCAATAGTAAATATATAACATAGGTGGTAAATTATTAGAACATTGACAATCATAAGTCCCTAACATTGTTGCACAATCAAGTCAATTTACTTAATCAATAGGAAGCAAGTCGGACGATTAACTACTGTTATTCTAAATTTATGAATGGTGTTGTAGATTTATTATTGAACGGAAACAATTCCATATGGGTCAATCAGAGTGATAGACACTTCCTCGTGATTCTTAGACGACTCATCGTGACCAAGAAACAAGGAAGAGTACGGGCTTGGATGGCATTTTTCTTCTGTCCTACTATACAGGGCATTGTTTGTCATAGCTACTTTTCAATTTTCCCCAGTTTAATATTTTTTGGGCTACAAAGAGGATGATGTTTTGGAGGATTTTGGTCCGTGAAACACAATACGGGACACTGTTCTATGCTGTTGAATTTGTGAAAGAGTTGGCAATTGTAAAAAGCCATTGGTAGCGAAAATTGGCCGATGACTTACTTGGTTTGTTATACGTTAGTAACGTATAACCACTTTTAGAAAAGTACCGGCATTATTTGATTCTTTAAAGTTATCGATTATTCTAAAATTTACCAACATTTATTTTCGGGAAAATTCCAAATAAAGGCCCGAAGTGACTTCACTTTCTCAAATAAGGGCCTGAAGTGGACTTAGTGTCAAATAAATGCATGAATGTTAGTCTCAAATAAAGGCCTGAAGTGGCCATAAGAGTCCAAATAAGGGCTTGACCTCATCGGTCGCCGGCCGATCAAGGGTATTTTCGTCCAAAAACCATTTTAATTTTAAATATTTTTTATTTTTATTTCTTTTTTCTTTTTCTTTCTTTTTTCCTTTCTTTTCCTTTTTCCTTCTTCTGGTTTTCTCTTTGTGCTTCACCAGTGGCTGGCCAACCACTGCCGAAGCTTGGGAAGGGCTACGCAAGGGCCACCCTTGCCGGCAACAGGCGAGGGACGGCCATGACGGCCATGGGCGAGGCAACCCTCTACTAGATCTAGCGAGGATTGGCCTCGCCCACCTGTTGCCAGCAAGGGTGGCCCTTGCCAGATCGGGCTGAGCGAGGGTCGCCCAGCCCTTCCCGGGCTTTGCCGGTGGTCGGCAGCAAAAAAGAAAACCAAAAAAAGAAAGAAAAAAGCAAAAGGAAAAAAAGAAAAGAAAGGAAAAAAAGTAAAAAAAATTAAAAGGACGAAAATTCCCTTATTATCCAATAAGTTTGAAACAAACATAGCCATTTCATGCCTCTATTTGAAACAAAATCCACTTCAAATCCGTATTTGAGAAAATAAAGGCACTTTATACCCTTATTTAATACAAAGTCCACTTCATGCTCTTATTTGAGAAAATGAGGGCATTTCAAACCTTATTTGGAATTTTCCCTTTATTTTCTTAAGTCACCAGAGTGTTAAAGTTACTAATTGTCATGCGAAACTACCAACCTTAATTTGAGTCACTTAGCAACATGTATTTTAATTTTTCAATTTACCAACCATTTCAATAGTTTATATGAAATTCAATTAAGTCAAATACGAACATGATAAACTTACAACACAAGAGTTTATGCTTTTGTATGAGTTTAGTAGCTTCGTAGGTTGGTAGATTATCAAAACCTTTGGTGATTAATAAATAATCAAACAAAGGTTGGTGACTGAGTTTAAATAAAGTTAATAATTTCATGTAAAAGCTTATAATATTAAGTTCCACCGATAAATGAGGGTAATTATGGGAATAGTTGGTAATTTAAAACGAGTTGATAATTTCTTTTGCAAATTTGATCCATTGGTGAGCTCCCAAATAAATGCTCGTAATTTATCTGAACAATATGGAATAATGAAGTAAATGTTGGTAAGTAGAGCCCATTAAGAGTTGGTAATTTCGTATGAGACTCAGTTTGTAAAGTTACACAAGTATGGTTTGGTAAACTATTTAAAGGGCGAGGCTATTTCCATCCCATTTTGGCTAAGACACTACTTTCTAAATGTCTTTACATTAATCACCTTTTGACCACCGGTGGCAATCACCTATCTTAACTACAAAATTTAATATATAGTATGAGCTTTATATATTAAAGATTGTAGATTATAGATGTGCATAGATAAATTTACAGGTAAATTCATGACTTTAAAAAAGAAATGGATATTACCCTAGATAATTTTCACAATTCTTATTTAATCATTAATAGAAACATCTTACGACAATAATATATAAGAGAAAAATAAATAAATTTCTTCATTGGTGAGATTTATTGATTTATATATCAAAAACTACATCCAAATTAATTTTATAAGGCAAATTGATGTGGATATATTATTTTACAAATATCATACTAAATTAAATGAGATGATGAGGTTTTTTCTAATTAATGTATAGTAATATGTCTAATTAATGTCACGGAAGCAGGAGGGCATTGAGCTTTGTGATGGTGTGGCTAAACTATACAAAGTTCCATTCTACCCAACTTTCTTATTATTTATAGATTTTGACTAATCATGGAAAATTTAAAGAAAATAAAAACATTACTCAGAGGATGTTAGAATAGTTAAATAATAAATCGAGTCTTCATCTAATAACTTAAGCTTTTAGAACAGTCGGTAGGGATTTCATAAAATTTGATATGGTGTCAAAGTTGGGGGTCTTAAGTTCGAATCTCTCCAAGCCCTATTTATTAATTGAACTGTGTTTCTTGGTCTTCTTTTTTTTTTTTTTCGTTCCTTCACATTTATGACATTTCTTTTCCTTTCAAACTAAGGTGAAGCAATTATCGTGCCTATTGAACTTATATGGTTACTAGTGAAACACATTCTTTGATTATACTGTCACACAATTCGAATCTAAGCTCCTCCGGTATATTTCTACTATTGAAATATTTAACAGAGATGTCAGCATCTCGAGTAGCACAACTGTTACTGTTCCAAGCACATAAGTTAAGTGATCCTCATGGGATGTCTAGTGAGCCTGCCCGAGAGGGTACAATCTCCTTGTCTTAGTGCTGTATGATTCTGGGAACCGACCAGGAGGTTGCGAGAGTCTTCAATTATCTCGCTAAGGATGTCGGTTTCCGTACTAGCGCGAGCTAATTGTCAGAGTTCTTCGGGCAAGTGACCAGATACCACCAGAACAAATGGCATGCGAGATGGATGGGGATCAAGTGCTCATACTTCGGCAGCCCTTGGTCCTCCATCTCGACTACCGCTGCTTTCATTTTCTTAGTTTTTACTGTCGTTTTGGCTTTTTTGGCCATTTACGTGCATTTTCGTCTCAACAAGTAACAAACCTCAGAAACTCAGTTTCAGAAACATATTTAAGGAAATCTTATCAGACCAATGAGATAACACTTCGCTGCTACTCTTAATTTGCTTTCTAGACCGTCCGCTACTACATGGAACTAGTCCATGACATAATTTAAGGTACGATGAAGAGCATTATATTAATTGCAGGATTTAACAATTCTAGAGAACTTACTAAATGCGTGCGCCGCTGATTGAAATTAGCAGACTATATTTTCTATATAACATTAATGTCGACTTGAAAGCAGCAGTAATCACTAATCAGACCATTGATGAAGTCAACGAGCCACCCGGGTTCCAATTGCACACGCCAAGCATGTGAATTTCATACACCTTGTTAGAGCTGGGAAGATGGCACCCTTGGTCCAGATTGGCACAGTACATATTTGAAGAAATCTTATGTTATTCAAACTTGAAGAATTTCTTTATTGAAGGCCTTTCCTAGCAATAGACATACAGGTCTTGAATTTCTCAAGTCCAATCATCTTCTACTAGATGCACCTCCTCAGTTCTACTTCATAGACCTTTGACAGTTTAAAATGGACAATCATGGAGAGGAAAAACTGTGAACTTACTCCAATCAAGCATAATGACCAAAGTTTAGCGAACATGATAACATTGCGAAAGTCTGAACAGCAAGCCATCCCAAAACTGATAATACACACGCCTCCATGGCTGGATAAATATTAGTGTCCCGCAAAAAACCCTGAAGCCGACAGCAAATCCTAGTGGCATGCTCATGTAAAACGACTTTATGTCAATCCAACCATTCTCCTCACGACATTCAGACCTTTGAGTTGGAACAGCATCAGCTTGTTCAGGATTGGTGGTGATTGAGCAATTGTCAAGTGGAAACCTGCATAATCCTTTGTTAACTACAAACGAACCTTCTGAAAATGTGAGAAACTGTTTGCTTGCTGGGATCATACCAACAAGTTGATTATAGGAGAGGTTCAGGCATGAAAGGAAGTTCAGATCTGAAAGCTGCACCGGTATTGTCCCATGCAGATATTTCTGTGACAAGTCTAGGGACTCGAGCTGCTGTACTTTTCCTAATGACGAGGGAATAGGCCCTGAAAGCCAATTGTGCGACAGGTTGAGAAAATAGAGTGCTCGAAAATCTCTCAATGCTTCTGGTATTGGACCCTCGAATCTATTGCTCGAGAAGTCGATCGAGGTGAAAAACTGTTACGATCTTCGTGAGTTCTATCTCCACACCTTTGAAAGTAACACTAACTGTGTCTTGATAATAGAGATTGGTCGATGAAAGAAACGGATATTGAAGATGGTCAAAGTGCGACTTAACCTTCATGGCCTCCCGAGACTTCAGGAAATCTTGAGGCAGCATACCACTGAAATCGTTGGAAAGCTAGGCCCTCCTGCTTTCTCGCTCCTCTCTTCTTTGCCCATCTCTCTCTCTCTCTGAGATGTTACCGTGAGGTTTCGTTGTAGAGATTGCCGAGGTAGATTTTCGCATAAATGTATTCGGCCATTGTGAAAACACCAGAACTCCAATCAATTAACATCAACTTAATCTATGTCAGCATGCTTTCGGATTCAGGAAAACAACGAAACTAATTCGCATTGAAACCTCATAGACATTCTGTCAAACAGATTGCAGTCAATCGGTTAAGGAGCAGATTTTTTGCTATTTTAAGCTCGTATTTGTGACCATGCCGCAAACGAAATCAACATGCGAAGTTCGGAATCAAACACGCGACTCTAACATGACCGATCCTAATCGAAGCAAAACGAGCTCCACATTCGATTCACCTTCGCCAGAATCATAGCATGATGGAGAATCGGAGATTACCTTGTTGATGAAGCCAAGCTAAGTCCAATCAACTATCGAGAGCTCTCATGATTGTCGTCGGCTAAACCGAAGACCCGTCGACGAGTTTCAAGCCAATTTGGGCCACTTCAATCTTCACGGCCGCGAAACAGAGTTGAACAAGGGGCCTTCTCGCGAGGTGGGGGTCCGGCGATGGCTACGTCGCCTTGGGCGCGGTGATGAGCCAGAAACGAGAAAGTAGTCTCTGGAAATCGATTCCCTGAGGGAAATTTTATGGTGGAATCTCTCTCAAAAGTGTACTCCGCAATTGTTTCGAACTCAATCCGTGCGGAGGCGCGTCTCTCCGTACCGCGCGAGCGACGATCGGCAACAAGGTTGTAGCGGTCGAAGTTGGGGACTAGCGGCAATGGAGAAGGAACCGATCTCTGTTTATATCTCGGAATCTCAACCCTTATGGGTCAGGTGAGCGCACACGTTGATTGAAGTCTTGCGGGTCAAATTCATGAGCAAACGGGTTTGGGTTTGAGTCAAGCTAATCGGGCCAAATTTGAATTCAATGGCCGAATGGGCTTTGAAAGTCATCGCTCATTTGAGTACAATAACTTTTTTCGATGATTTGAGTTCTATAACTTATATAAGGCACTCACGTAAATGCCATAACTTTTTTTTTTGGCGATCACCTGAGCATATACCTTTTGAATCGATCCCTTGAGTATCGAAACTTTTTGAAAACATTCACCACAAGTTCATGACACGTTGGATTTCCGGCACTTAGGTGAATGTTTTTAAAAAATTTATGACACTCAAATGATCAATTGAAAGTTATGGCACTTTAGCGTGAAATTTTTTTTTAAAGTTACGACACTCAAGTAGTAAAAAAAAAAGTTATGGCACTCAATTAAGCGCTGTACAAAAATTATGACGCTTGTGCTGTTCTTATCTTGTAGCAAATCACTAACATTGTTGCAAAATCAAGTCAACATACATGAGCAGAAGGTAGGTGGTTGCGCAATATATTTTACATCAGTGTGCTAGCAATATATTGTAGGAAAGTACACTCGAAGATGATTATTTTGGTGCTTGAAACATAGCCTTTTGAGTTCATATTAACCTCGAAACAAGCAAGAGAAGTTACTAAATCTGCCTCGTTGAATCAGAGAATTCACAAACTGTTCGTGCAGAGGCGTCCAATCCTCCAATCCCAATGTCCATACTCAAGGTTGTGGTGTTCTCGGTGTTGGTGTCCATTGAAAGTAAGACTTTCATCCCTTACACCTAGGAATTGAATTCTATCTAGTCTCGAGTGCATATCCATCGGCTCGTGTCCATGATTCGATTGCATGTCTATGGCCAAGTATTGATCATGATTTACATGCAGGGATTGTTGATTCCATGTTTATCTCTAAATTGCTCATGTTAATAGGGTTGATAGATTGCCATGTTTTGATTCCCCTTGGATGAACTTAATCAGAGAAGGGTCGCATCTTTATTACTTAGATATATCTCTTTTTGCGTGGATTTGTCCTTGGTTGAATTATAAGGATGATCTTTTTGCATGTTAACATTTAAGGGATCGGATTGAATTGATAATTCCTTTGCATGTTGTTCATGGCCGGTCCCCTTGGTGCTCTTGGTTCGCCCCCTCCTTGTTTGATTGCATATGTTTAATGTTGTCTCGTATTGATTGCCCTTATTTTAATTTCCTTGCATCTCGGTTAGGGTTTGTCTTGCTTGGAAGAATTTTGATCATCTGTTTTGCTGAGATTCATGGAAAATAGGCTAAAGCTTCGACCTTTATCGATTACTTCGCTCATGTCAAAAAGATAGAATCTTTCAAGGAAAGATCAAACCTTTACTGCGTTTTATTCAAGCATATAGGATACAGTTTGCTAGTTCATGTAGATTAGTGAGAAAAATCATAAAATTGCATCTTTAATTGTCATGTGGCATATAGGCTATTCATGATCACCTAGGTAGTTGCATATCAATAATAAAATGGAAAGATCAATAGATAAGGATATTTAGAAGCATGCTAGGTGATGAAGAATTATGAAGAGAAGAAAGAAGGAAAAGACTCTTTTCCAAGTTTAGCAACTGAACCTCAGTGGAAATCTTCATGGTCATGAGTGTCTGAACGACACTTTATCCCAGAATCGATAATAAGCAAACCTCCATGATCTGATAAACACTATCGGACCACAAAATAGCCAGAAGCCAACCACGAATCCAAGCGGTATGCCCATGTAAAATCACTTCTTGCTATCATCATTGTCTTCGTCATCATCTATGTTGCTTTGAGTTGGAACACTACTCGCTTCTTCTGTCCCATTCGTTGTAGTTGAGCAACTTTTGTTGAGCGGAAGCCCACGCAATCTGAGGTTTCCTTCCAAAGAACTTTCGAAAAACGTGAGAAACTGTTGACTAGTCGGGATGCTTCCCACAAGTCGATTTTTTGAGAGGTTCAGGAACGAAAGGAAATGAAGATTTGCAAGCTGAGCAAGTATGGTTCCATTGAGATAGTTCCATGACAGGCCCAACGACTCTGGCTGATCCAGATTCCCTAAAACAGGAGGAATTGAACCAGAGATGGCATTATGCAATAGGTTGAGGAAATAAAGTGCTTTGAGATCTCCAAGTGTGTTTGGTATCGGACCCTCCAATCTATTGGCCGAGAAGTCAATCAACGTGAAAATAGTCAAAATCTTGACGAGTTCTAGCTTCAGACCTTTGAAGGTTACACCCATTGTATCTTGATAATAGATATCCATTAATTGGAATAACTCATACATAAAAAGATTGAAGTCTACATTGGCCTTCACAGCCTCCAAAGATGCGAGGAGACTCACAGGCAATGTGCCGCTGAAATTGTTGGAAGATAGGTCGATATTTTGAAGCATTTGCCAAGTGCTGGGACTATGCGGACATCTAATTTCCCTATGCAATTTGTTGGATTGTAAAACAAGGACACGGAGACTCGATATTGCCTGGAAATGGGCATGGAAATGCCCCATCTATTTGATTGTCGCCGATGTTCACAATCTCCAACGTCATGCAATTTGCCGACGACAACGGAATCTAGCCCTGCAAGAAATTCTCACTAATATCCAATATCTTCAAATCACATGTTGACGAGATGTTTTGCGGAATATCACCACTCAACTGGTTATTTTGCAGATTCAATACCTTTGGGGATGCCATCATTAAACAATCAAGAATAGTTCCGTTCAGATGGTTATGCAATAAGTCAAGCACATCAAGATAACCAGCTTTGTAAATTGACTTCGGGATGGACCCAAGGAAATTATTCTTTGAAAGGGAGAAGAACATCGAGTTTAGTATGTTGATGTCATCCGGAATAATAGCATTTATTTTGTTACTTGAGAAATCAAAGTAGGAAGCATATGACGACAAGGGTGGCATATTCCCTCGGAGCATGTTTGAATGGAGGTCGATGAAATCCAAAGGAAAGGTAAGATTGCCCAGAGGTGTTTCCATATCTTCAAAGAAATTAGAGGAAAGATTGAGATGGTTAAGATTTTCTAGTGTCCATATCCATCTCGGTATATCCCCTTTTATATAATTGTGGGAGAGGTCGAGGAAGAACAATGTGGACTGGTTAGCCAAAAACCGAGGCAATGTCGTCAATTGGCAGGAAGCCAAATTTAAGTCTTGAAGGTCAGGGAATGAAGAGTCCTGGGGAGCCGTATTTGTGGCATCAATGGAAAAATGATTGTAGGAAAGATCCAAATCCCAAAGATTTCTCAGCTGCTGAACCAAATTAATATGAAATGAGCCACTAAAATTATTGGAAGAAAGTGAGAGGACATTGAGCCCTCGGAGTTCCCATATAGACGTCGGTAGTTCACCTCCTATATTGTTGTTGCTCAAATCAAGTGTTTTCAGCATTTGCAATGGAGCATTAAAAAATCCCTTCAATTGACCAGAAAATCGGTTGTTGGAAAGTCGAAGCTCTCGAATTGATGGACGTGTAAACAGAGATGAAGGAATATTTCCTTCAAATAAATTGAATTCTAGGTTGAGAATAAGAAGACTCAAGAGGGATTCCCATTCTGTTGAATCAATCGGACCAGTTAGATTATTGTAGTACAAAATGATATGTGTTAGATTCTTGGACTTGCTGAGTGATGGAATAGAACCAGTAAAATTGTTGAATGACAAGTCCAAATAAGACAATCGCGAGAGATTGGTAAGAGAGCTTGGGATATTTCCATAAAAGCTACAATCCACTAATTCTATTCTGGACAAATTCCTCATATTACCAATTGAATCTGGGAGCCTCCCGGAAATATTTGTGTCATTCAGAACCATTGTCTGAAGAGAACTATTCTCCGGAAATATTGGCAAAGAACCTCGAAGGAGTTCGTTGCCTGATATGTCAAGGGTCTCAAGTGTTTGTACCTGGTAGATTTTAGGAGGAAATTCCCCCTACAGGCCACAATAACTTAGGCTCAGAGTTTTCAAGTTGGAGAAATTCGCAAGATATTAGGATCTGTGGTGGACAAGTTGTTATGATTGAGTTGGATGATAGATAGATTAGCAAGACCCATAAGAGAAGCGCCGATAGGACCAGACAGAGAACAGTAAGTAGACATGGCCACGGGCCGGTTTCGACCCGGAACCGGCCAGGGTCAAACCCGGGATTGGCCCATTGACCGGGCCAGCGGTTCGGAACCGGAACCGGCCTGTGGCCTATGGGCCCGGTTCCAATAATTTTGGAATCAGCCCGGAGCCGCCAGTTCCGGGCCCGGTTCCAAAAAAAAAAAACTGGAGCAGGGCCTGCAGGCCCAGGGCAAGTGGTCGTTGGCCACTTGGCCTTGGCAATGGCTAATATATATATATATATATATTTTAAAGTAGCCGTTGCTAATATTTATTATTATTTTTCCCTAAATTTCCTTCTCATTTTTTTCTTATAAATTCTCTCAATTTTCTCAATCCGAATTCTATAAATTTTTTCAGTCCGCGCAATTCTCTTTTAATTCTCCCAATCAATTTGCTCAATTCTTTCAATCCACTCGAAAAATGGCAAGTGGAAGTCAAGCGGCAACTGGCAAAGGTAAGAATAGAATGACGGAATCCGAATATTCTTTTGATCCTCGTGATTATGCAGATTTTCAAGATGATGAAATCAACATTTTTCCCAATGTGGAGCTCGTCCAACACAAGAAAGTCTTCATGCCGAAATGTCAACAACAAAGGAGGCAGAGCGGGAACTTACATCTGATATTTGGGACCACTTTACGAAAACGGAAAGGTTTGATATTGGTCCAAAAAGGTATGATATAATTTGTAAACATTGTGGGGCAATATATAAATATACAGGTGGACAAGGATACAGAACATTCAAATGACATCTTAGGAGCAAACATCCAACCGAAGCGGGAATCGATACCAAGCAACAACAAATTTCCGAGTACGTCAATCCTAACACTTCTCATTTATTTCGTTTTAATGAAAAAACTTATAAGGAAGAATTAGGTAAATTTGTTTCCGTTGAGCATTTATCATTTAATTTTGGAGAAAGATTTGGTTTTAATCAATTTGTACAAAAAGCTTGTGCTCCACAAGCAAAACGTATTCCTAGAAATACACTTAAACGAGTAATTAAAGATCTTTACAAAAATGGAAAAAAAGATTTACAAAACTTTTTTATGCAATTTAATGGATGTGTGCATATAGGTAGTGATATTTGGAGTGATCATTGGCAAATTCATTCTTACATGGGCATAATATGTCATTGGATAGATGACAATTGGAATATTAAAAAAAGAGTCCTCGCATTTAGAGTTTTCGATGGTAAGCATGCGGCAAATAATATTTATAGAATAATTATGCAAATTTTAGAAGAATATTGTTTGCTTAACAAAATTTTTTCAATTGGTTTTGATAATGCCGTGGCAAATACTGCTTCAATTACTGATTTAGAAAATATTTGTAGATTCACTTTTGGCGGAAAATTTTTTTACATTAGATGTGCTTGTCATGTTTTAAATTTATGTGTACAAGATGGTTTGAAAACTCTTGATATTTTTCTTGAACCAATAAAAACAACGATTTAATTTTTATGAAAACATCCCCAAAAAATGAAAGAATGGAGTAAATTCTGTAAAGTAAATGGAAAAAGGCCAAGAAGATTTCTAAGAGATGTTCCAACTCGTTGGAATTCTACTTTCCACTTACTTAATGAATCTTTTGCATATAAAGATTTATTATGTGCATTCATTTTTAATAATATATCGCAGATTAATTTATACCCACAAGAGTGGGATATTTGTAAAAAAAAATTAGATATTTTAAAGGTTTTTAATTATGCAACTTATACTTTGTCCGTTATTTATTATCCTACTATGCATTTATTTTTTGTAGAGTGTATTAATATTGTCGGAGTTTTTGAGGAATATAAAAATAATGTTGAATTACCAAATACTATAGTAATAATAAGAATGAAGTAGCTACATTATTATAGCGAAATTCCCATTATTTATTTAGTTGCTTGTGTTTTTTATCCACGTTGCAAATTAAATGGTTTAGGTGATTATTTGCATATATATTATTAATGTTTACATTCTAATACGATAGATGTTGCAACCATACTAAGGGAGGTTAAAAACGTAGTAATAGAATTATATAATGAATTTTATACTAAGGGAGGTGATATTGGATCTTCTCAATCTACCGAGACACAAAGTGAGAGTACAGGTAAATTAGTAGAGGGTACCAACTTTTATTACATAGACAAAAAAAGCAAAAGGGAGTAATAGGAAACATTTCTGCATTAGAGATATATCTAACCGTTTCCTTTGAGTTTTCTGAATCCGAATGTAGTATAGGTTTTTTAATTTTAGATTGGTGGAAGAGGCACGCAAGCCAATACCCAATCATTTTTTCTTATTGCAAAATAAATTTTTGCAACCCCATGTTCGATAGACGCGGTCGAAAAAGCATTCAGTGCCAGAGGTAATATTTTGGATGAACAACATTCAAGATTAGTTCCGGAATCAGTGGAGGCTCAAGCTTGCGTCGATGATTGAATGAAGGCTCAATATCGACAACAAGAGATAGATTTGAATAATAAATCCGAATTCTTTGACGATAGAGATACCACCACTACCGGTACCGGTACCATAGAATGGGTAGCGACGATTGAGGGTAAAAAAACTACATGGATTTTGATTCTTCTATCTCCAAGAAGATATGTAAGGCGCTTAATGATAATTCATTAAGTTCAAGCCCCATCTCTTTCACTCTTTTTTTCCCCAAATTTGATTACAATGTACATTTTGATTACATTTTATATTGAATAATTTATTATTTCATAATTTGATAATTCATTATTTTTTTATTTCATAATTTATTTTTTTAATTTTTACCAGCCGGTTCTGAAGCGGGCCGGAACCGAAACTGGCCCAGAACTGCCGATTCCAGTTCTGGTTCATACATGGCCACGAATCGGAACCGGCTAGTTCCGAACCGTGGCCATGTCTAATAGTAAGACATGCTCAACACCTCAAGTTTCGGCACTGCCGATTCCGAAGCGTAGCCATGTCTAACAGTAAGACATGCTCAACACCTCAAGTTTCGACACTGAAGAAGTCAACGCGTCACACCACTCACTTCCCTCAGCAGACACATCTACCCCATCAAGGTATAGCTCTCTCAACTCCCTCAAATCCCCAATCAGCAAACTCAAAGAGGGCTGCCCAAGGAACAGCAAAGCCGGATAATAGTCCCTGCCACTAGTGAGATCAAGAGTGCGTAGCTTCGTCAAGCACGATAGTCCCGCTGGAATTTGCCCGGCGAATCCGGCATAGGACAAGTCGAGATGTGTCAAGCGGCTGAGATTTGCGAGGCCCGAAGGAATCGGCAAGTAGTTAAAGCCGTTGAACGCCAAATTCAGTCTTCGAAGGAGCTCGAGCCTCAAGAGACTCGACGAACCGTCGATTCCGTCAGAGATCGACTCATTGCTCAAATCGAAACCGACGACAAGGTCATCCTCGCACGTCACGTTGCTCCATGAATCAACGCTTTGGTCCCACTGTACTAGCTTGGAAGACACAGAGGCGTTGAAGACGAGGCTGTTTCTCAGCTTGAGCAAGAGCGATCTCTGGTCGACTCCGCGACACCGGACTGGAGCTGAAGCCCCAGCAACGTAGGAGAAAATGGAGATGGTGGATATCGCAAGAACAAGCCATGAGACGATGGAAATGTTCATCGGAAGAGGTTGAAGAAGAGCGCTGGAAGAGGGCACGGGGAAGAGAGTGGAACGAAACAAAGTCGACACTTACTATGGAGTCGTCCAATATAAGGGCAATCTTGTGTCAATTTTCCAGATGTCATTAGTCCCCAAATTTGACTTATAACACTTTCAAAAATCCTCGCAAAATTTGGCAATATTGCGCAACAAAATGAAATTCTTTTTCTATCATAATTTTCAATAAAAACTAAAGACCATATTTATGTTTTCTAGGAAAAAAGGAAAAATAAAAGAAATCTTCCTTTGGTGTTGAGATCAGAACTTGACATCCCTTGAAATTGCTTTTGGCTCATCTTATTTTAAGATCATAAAACCAATGACATTATGTGATCAATGTTGTCTTTGTACATCAACATTGACCCCGCAGAGATCGGCCAAAAGCAAACGCCATAGATACTCTATCCGATTATTTAATCAAATAAGTAGATTCAAGAGGAGAAATAAAATGATTTGATTATATTTGGAATTAATTGTAAAATTTTTCTAAGACTATAAAAAGAGCAAACAAATATAAACTTGAGAATTATATTAACGTTAGGATTTCGACATTTCCAGATAACTTACTAAATGTTAACGTAGCCAATCGAAAATTAGCAGACTATATTTGATAAACATGATAGTTGACTATTTGGTCAACCAAGCACATCAACTGAGCTGGAATTTGAACACGAAATTTCCATGCACCATCTTAGAGCTGCGAAGATTGCGCCTTTGGTCTAGTTCGGTGGGGTACACGCGTGAAGAATGGTCCTGATTGAAGGACTTTCCGACAATCGACAATTACGGAAAGGAAAGACAATTGAACTTTACTCCAATAAAGCATCACGACCAATATACACGCAATAGCTTTCGGTTGACTTGACTAGAGAATGCAAAATTGTCGTTTCGGTGGTGCTTCCCCCTTTCGTGGATTTCGAAAATTTCGTTTCCGGATAAAACGCAATTTCATCTGTGGGTGGTAAAAAGGTAACGACAGTATTAAATTTGGAATGTGATGATAACGAACCCAATAATAAATTATCATTTTTTTTATTTCACAAGTGAGTGCGTAAATATTTGTAATTTACTAGTGAAGTAAAAGTTTTATCATTCACGAATTCAGTAGTAAATTGCCGCTTATTTTAATTTTTTCGAGTAGGCACATGACTTTTTGCCAGTGAAATAACATTTCTACCATCCACAAAACACAATAGCAATTATCACATATTTTTAGATTTTACGAGTTGGCATATAACTGTTTGTAAGTTACCAATGAGATGAAAATCTTACTATAACATCAAGAAACTCAATAATAGATTACTACTTATTTTTAGAATTTACAAGTGACCGCGTAATTGTTTGTAAGTTATCAACGAAATAATAATTTTATCATCTACATACTCAATTGTAGATTACTGCTAGTTTTTAGGTTTTACTAGTAGACGCGTAAGTAACCGTTTGTATGTTACCAATGAAATAACAATTTCATCATCCATAAATCTAACGGTAAATTAGCATTTGTTTTTACATTTTTACAAGAAGGCACATGACTGTTTGTAAGTTATCAATAAAATAACAATTTTACCATCCACAAGCTCAATAGTAAATATGTAACATAAGTGGTAAGTTATTAGAACATTGATAATCGTAAGTCGCTAACATTGTTCCACAATCAAGTCAATTTACTTAATCAATAGGTAGCAAGTCGGACGATTTTACCACGGTTATTTAAAATTTATAAATGGTGTTACAAATTTACTATTGAACGGAAACTATTATGTATGGCCAAATGGAATGTTAGACACTTCCATGTGATTCTTAGGCGACTCATCATGACAAGAAACGAAAAAAGAGTACGGAGTTTCGATGGCATTTTCCTTCTGTCCTACTGTACAGGGCATTGTTTGTGATAGCTACTTGGCAATTTTCTCCTCTTTCATATATTGTGGGCTACAAAGAGGATCAAGTTTTGGACAATTTTGGTCCGTGAAACACGATACACTGTTGAATTTTTGAAAGAGTCGGCAATTGCAAAACCCTGTAGGTAGCAAAAATTGACTGGTGACTTGCTTCGTCTGTTAAACGTTAGGGTAACGTTCAACGACTTTTAGAAAAGTACTAGCATTATTTGATTCTTGAAGTCATCAATTATCTAAAATTCAGCAACATTTATTTTCTTAAGTCATGAGCATGTTAAAGTTACTAATTTTCATAGGAAACTACCAACCCTAATTTGAGTTGCTTAACAACATTTATTTTATTTTTCCAATTTACCAATCATTTCAATAGTTTATACGAAGTTTAATTAAATCAAATACCGACATGATAAACTTACCGTACAAGAGTTTATGATTTTGTATAAGAGTTTAGTAGCTTGTAGGTTAGTAGATTATCGAAACAGTTGGTGATTACTAACTAATCAAATAAAGGTTGGTAACTGAGTTTAAATAATGTCAATAATTTCAAATAGAAAGGTTTGTAAGTTTAAGTTCCACTGATAAATGATGGTAATTATGAGAATAGTTGGTAATTTTGAAAAGAGTTTATAACTTCTTAGGCAAATTCAATCCACTGGTGAGCTCCCAAATAAATGTTCGTAAGTTGTCAGAACAGTATGAAATAATGAAGTAAATGTTGGTAAGTAGAGCCCAATAAAAGTTGGTAATTTCATATGAGAATCAATAGCTTTATAAGTTGGTAAGCTGCACAAATATGTTTTGGTAAATTATTTGAAGGGTGAGGTTATTTCCATTCCATTTTGGCTAAGACACTAATTTCCAAATGTCTTTACATTAATCACCTTTTGACCACCTATAATAATCACCTATCTTAACTACAAATTCCATTTTGGCTAAGACACTAATTTCCAAATGTCTTTACATTAATCACCTTTTTTTTTTGACCACCTATACTAATCACCTATCTTAACTACAAAATTCAATTTATAGTATGACTTTATATATTACATATTGTAGATTATAGATGTGCATAGTTTAATTACAGGTAAATTCATAACTTGACAAAAGAAGTGGATATTACCGTACACAATTTTCACAATTGTTATTTAATTATTAATAGAAACATCATAGCACAATAATATATAAGAGAAAAATAATTAAAATTCTTCGTCGATGAGTTTAGATTTATTGATTTATCTATCAAACTACATCCTAATTAATAAGTTATGAGGCAAATTGATGTGGATATATTAATTTAGAAATATCGTACAAAATTAAATGAGATGATTAGATTTTTTTCTAACACTACAAAAAAAGTAGGTTTTAGCGACGAATTTTGTCACGAAAAAATTGGGAAAATTCGTCGCTAAACGAATTTGCGACGAAATTAGCAACGGAAAAAAATTCGTTGCTAATTCGGCGTCGCAAAATTTAGCGACGGAAAATTTCAATTTTCGTCGCTAAATTGCGACGGAAAAAAATTCGTCGCAAAATTCGTCGCTAATTTGCCACAAACTTTTTCCGTCGCAAAATTCGTCGCTAATTTGCCACGAACTTTATTCGTCGCAAAATTCGTCGCTAATTATTCGTCACTAATTTGCCACGAACTACATTCGTCGCAAAATTAATCGCTAATTATTCGTCGCAAAATTCGTCGCTAATTTGCCACGAACTATATTCGTCGCAAAATTCATCACTAATTATTCGTCGCAAAATTCATTGCTAATTTGCCACGAACTTATTCGTCGCAAAATTCATCGCTAATTTGCCATGAACTGTATTTGTGGCAAAATTCGTCGCTAATTTGCCACGAATTTTTTTTGTTAGTAATTTGCGACAAACTTATTCGTGGCAAAATTCGTTGCAAATTTGTCACGAAAAATTTTGACTTTTGCCATGAACATTATTCATGAACAAATTTAGCAACTATTTTTTATTAATTCTTTAGCGACGAACTCTGCGACGAATATCGTTTAGGGACGAAATTACCGACAAAATTTTATTTTTGTAACGAACTTTTATAATTTGTGATCGTACAATAAAATCATTTATTTTATTTTTCGATTTTAAACTTAATTAAAAGCAAAATTAATTTCTGAAATTTATATTTAACATTGATTAAGCACTTAATAACATCAAAATATTATAATAATTTGAAAATGAAATACATTCATCTACATTTTCCTCAAGAATGACATAAATATTTTTCTTTATAGTACACATAATGAGAGAATAAATAATCTTGCATAATAACTAATCTTGCACAATAAACAATGACGACAGAAATGAATCAAAAAAGAATATCCGGCTTTTAGCGACAATCTCCATCATATAAATATTGAACAAAACTAAAGACACGGTTCATGTGAGATACTCACTTCCTTTGCTTTGTGAAGTTCACGTACTGATCAAGTGCTTTCTTGTTTACATGACTTAACTGTCGAAGTTGCTCGTTGCATCTGTGAAGCATCTTCTGCAACTCTTTGATGCTCCTCCGTCTATACTTATAATCTCAAACATATAAAACTCTTTGACACGGTCCCTGGCCTTGGTGACGACCACGTCGGGGGCCCTGTCGCGGTGCTTCCGGTGATTTCTTTCAACTTGTAGGCAGAACAAGACTTCCTAGAAGATTACAAAAGCACTATTCTATGAAGAAGGAGACAAGGAAAAAGCCACAATAAGCGGAGTCCAAGTGCAAAGGCATTATGAAAGCTTATGTAACTCTCTTGACAAGGAGGATATAAAAAGGTCACGTGTGTATGAGAGCGTGCCCACAACCAAACATGCATGGTTGTGCGCCTTTGTGTGGGTGCATGTGCATTTGTGCCAAATATTCATCCCCATTCTATATGTGTACGAAAAAAGATAGATAGATAGCCAAGTAACTGGCTTTTTAGATGGACATGTTTGTGCGTGCATGTATTTGTAATTGTATATGTAATGACTTTTCTGTATGTACATGTTATCCATGGATTGAACCTTTTCCTAATCTAGCAACAAACAATTGTTTCTATTGCAGCACTTTTTAGAAGGATGTTGACGATGCACTATTTGTGACTTACCAATCCTCAGCAAAATGCCATCTCCTTTCCATGAATGGACTAAGAACAACCTACTCTTACATGGACTAGAGCTTTCACATGTCAATAACATATTTCACATACGCAAATTGAAAAGACATCAAAAATAAGTTCACATCAGCTAAGCACCTATTACAATTGTATCTAGATCAGAGTTCGGTAGATTGTCAATGGGATGATCAAATCGGCATTTTCATGACCGCAGAAGTTCAGCAGACATTGAAGGAGCCCCAAAGATAGTCGCCCAAGAAATGTTTACTTCTCGAATCCGGACATCTAAGGAACTTACGCTGTCCATCTAATTACTATTAATTGAAGAGTCATTGAATGGAAAGGGAATGACTGGACTATCTCAATTAGACATGAGGGCTTGCAATAGAATCAAGCTCAAGAGGCCAACCAGACTTCTAAGGCCAAGGAAGATGAGCAAGCTCGACCTACCAAGGCATCTGAAGTTCTAAGATCCACCCAATTGACCAAGATTACTCCATTAACAGCCACCCCCAAAAAAATTTCCCTTCTTTTGTAATTTAAATGAAGGTGGTAAAGATTATCATGTTGGATTCAAAGTTTCTTCCCTCATTCCCTGCAGATCGATCACTACACATCCACATTGAACCTATATTACACAATCCAACCATAATTTCTAAAGAAAGAAAATCCAAAGCATTGGAGAACATGGAGAGAATGCGGATAAATAGGTAAAACGGTGGCGACCCATTCCGCCAAATGAAACATTGCATTTAAGGGGAAAAAACACAAAACATCATCAACAAACAGGGAGAGGGGAAAAAAACCAAGAAGAGCAGATCTAACCTTTTGTTCAAATTCTCAGATTTCTCTGCAGTCACTTGACCTCCAAACACCACCTTGCTGATCCCATCCGAAGGCTAACAACTAGGAGTGTCAAAACCAAACACAATACCCGAACCGAAACACGAATCGACCCGACCCAAACACAAAATTTTCTTATTGGGTCGGGTTGGATCTCAACTTGTTTGGGTAACAATAAAAAGAATTGGGTATTGTTTGGATCTATTGGGCTCGGGTACCCAAGCCCAACCCAAACAATAACCCAAACTGTTCCTGATGGTTCTTGATGGCTTCGATAGATAGAAATGGCCAATTGGCCCAACTCTAGTCTGGGCAATTCTTCGATAGATTGAAACCCTAACATCTCTCTTCCACTTTTCTCTCTCACACTCTTGCCTCTTCTGCAGTCTCTCCTCCATCCAGTCCAAGTCCGACGGCAATCGCACCAAGGCCGTCGACATGACCGGCCCCGGCGACGCCGCGGTGCAGGGGAGCGGCCGCAGCGGCGAGGGGAACAGGGGCGGGGCTATGGTGGCAGGTCCTCGTCGGAGAAGGCGGGGTCCGCGGCGTCGGCGCTGGGCTCGTGGTCCCGCCGAGGGGAGACCTCGAGGGAATGCTAGGCGGACATGAGATCCCGGGATCACCGAATATCGAGGGAATGGATTAGGGACTCCTTGGATGGCGGGATCTGTAGAGCTACGGCGGCGGACAACGGCCGCCGCCGCCGCCGCCCCCACGCCGTACTCCTGATCGCACAACACGGCCTGAGCCGGGGGCGAGTTCACCATCCTCTCCAACAGATGCCGCATCGTCCACCTCCCCCAACATTTCGCCGCTGCCGACATCGTTGTCCGTCGGGCAACGAGGAGGGAAATACGGGGTCTGCTGCGGCTGCGGCGACTCGCGGGGCACGAGCTGAAGAGCGCTCTTCACCAGCTGTTGTAGGTACACCACCTGCTTGTAGGCCTCCTCCAGCGTGGCGAGTGTGTCCATCTTTCTTTCTCCCTACGGCATCACCAGCTGCTGCTGCTGGCGGCGGCGGGTGCGGGGGCTGCGGTTGGAGCGTTTCGAGGGAGCGGAGGAGGTCGGAGAGGCGGTGGAGGGGGAAGCAGAGGGTCGAGTCGTCGGCCAGCGAGAGGGAGTCAAACGGGGATGAAGCGGGAGCGAAGTCGGGGAAGCAGTGAGGGGGTTCTTGCTTGGGCATCTTGAGAGGGGACGGCGAGTAGCGAAACAAGAGAATTCATTGTTTGAAACACAGCCCGACCCAACCTGACCCGGCCTAATCATGCGGTGATATCTTGTTCGGGTCTTGTTTCAGGTCGGGTCGAACACACATGGTCAATATTTCGGGTCGGGTCGGGTATCATGAAAACCCAACCCGACCCGACCCATTGACACCCCTACTAACAGCGTCATCCCCCCAGAACAACCCTTTAAAAAAGGAAAGCCCAAGAAGATAAAAAAAAAAAGGCAGAAGGTGATAGCGAAAGCCGCACCTGGTGAAAGTGAGCATTGGAGCGAGAGGAAGCCGAACCGGGCGCGACCGAATCGTGGGGAGGCGGAGTCTCCGACCACGTGAGCAGATATGAAGTCGAAGTGTGAGGCTTCCTCACCGGCGTGCTCCTCTCCATTTTCTTCCTTTTCCCTGGAAAAAAAAAAGGAAGAACACCCAAGAAAGAACTCACGCCGATTCGAGCCTCGCCTCGCTCTCGCTCTCTGCGAACGCGGTCCCGAAGAACGAGCTTCGCGCTGCAATGCAGAGCCCGTCGATCCCGCCCCCAACCACCACGCAATCAACTAGTCCCCGGCGGCGGCCCTCGGCAACGAAGCACTAGATCCCAGCCTCGCCCATGGCCACTGCTCGCCCTCGCCCTCGCCCAGATCTGGGCGACAACGAGGTCGACCAGCCATGGGCGAGGTCGAGCGGCGGCCATGGGCAAGGCTGCTCGACCTCGCCCAGATCTGGGGCTAGGGAGGGCTGGTGGGCGCAGAACGGGCGTATGGTGATGGAGGAGGAGGCGACGGCGATAGCGGTGAGGGTGGCCATCATGGCTGGCGGAGGGGAGGAGGGAGCGACGGAGAGGTGTTTGGCGGGGGGGGGGGGGGTGGTTCTGAGGAATAGCACAGAGAGAGAGAGAGAAAAACTGGGGTGAGGGCGGGCAGATTTGAGAGATTGGCTGGGAGCTAAATTCAGAGTTCGTCGCTAAATTTAGCGACGGATTCAGCGACAAAGGTGCGAAAGTGATTTCGTGGCTTAGCGACAGATTTAGCGACGAAAAAATAAAATAGTCGCGAATGTGCCCGAAAGTGATTTTCGTCGCTAAATCCGTCGCTAATTAGGACGGATTTAGCGACGAAAAAATAAAATAGTCGCGAATGTGCCCGAATGTGATTTTCGTCGCTAAATCCGTCGCTAAATTAGTGACGGATTTAGCGACGAAAAAATAAAATAGTCGCGAATGTGCCCGAATGTGATTTTTGTGGCTAATTCCGTAGCTAATTAGCGACGGATTTAGCGACAAAAATATAAAATAGTCGCGAATGTGCCCGAATGCGATTTTTGTGGCTAATTCCGTAGCTAATTAGCGACAGATTTAGCCACAAAAATATAAAATAGTCGCGAACGTGCTCCGGAAGTGATTTTCATGGCTAAATCCGTCGCCAATATAAAAATAGTCACGAAAGTTATTTGCCTCGCTAATTTTCTTTCGTCGCTATTTCCATCACAAATTAGCGACGAATTGGCATTGGTTGCTAATGTTCCATGGCTAAATCCTTGTTTTTTTGCAAAATTGTAATTTTGCAACGAAATTAGCGACTACACAAATTAGCGACGACCTATTAATGTTAAAAATTCAGCAAATACAAAATGTCGCCAATGTCGTCGATAATTTTGCGATGAACACTGTTTGTCAACAATTAGCCACAAATAAGTTTTCGTCGCAAAAATAGCGACGGCTTTTTTGCGACGATTAGCGACGAAATTAACTACGACTTTCGTAACTAATTTTGTCAATTAGCAACAATCCAAATCCAATGGAAAATAAAATATCACAAATGTCATCGCATGAATAGTATTTGACTTGTCGCCATTTAGCGACGAATTTTCCGACAACCTATTACATTAATAATAATAACAATAATAATAATCAACAACAACAATAATAATAACAATAACAATAACAACAACAATAATAATAATTATGACAACAACAATAACACATGTTGCAATAATAATAATAATTACACACAATTAGTTAAAAGTCTCAAAAATCATAATCTTCATTTTCATCTTCACATTCATCTTCGTCTTGATCTTCATCTTCATCTTCTTCATGAGCATCATCTTCATGCATCCTTTGTCTCAAAATCCGATTCTTCAACACCTTTTAAATTTGATTCACGAATTTCTGTTGGCTTCACATCTATCATTGCTTCACATGGATCTCGTAAAGTTTGAATGTTACATTCCTCAGTTTCAACCTTGTTACAAACTTCCTCTTGTTGATATACTGTATCATTCAAGTATTCCTCAAATTTTCTTCGTGCTTTGATTTTACACACAGCCCATCAATCAGTTTTGTCACATTTCAAACTAGGATATGATGCATAATATACGAATTTTGATGCAGAATTTATTAGTGGTGCAGAAGTCCAAACGGAAGGCGAAACGGTGATGCGACTATAACAGGAGGACCCGATTGACCAAATTTGGTCGGTTGAAGCGAAACGGCTTTCTTAACGCAACTCACTGCCGTTGGCGATGATCGACGATGGATTTTAGCGATTCAGGATCATTTAGATGACTTTTTCAATTATTTTAATATTTTTTCTTGACTTAATTTTAATTTTAAGGGGCCGTTTTGTAATTTTTATATTTGACGCTTTGTAATTTTAATTTTAGGGTTATATAATCTTGTGTAAGGATTTTATTTTTGACGATATAACATTATCATCAATATCGAATTTCGAGATTTCTTTATCTAAGCAAGGTTTTGCTTGAAATACTCGTTGGACGCTTTGTCAAATTTTGTGATGAATGTGCCACGAAAATTATTTTTCGTCGCAAATTCCGTAGCTAATTAGCGATGGATTTAGCCATGAAAATCACTTTCGGAGCACGTTCGCGACTATTTTATATTTTCGTGGCTAAATCCATCGCTAATTAGGTACGGAATTAGCCACAAAAATCACATTTGGGCACATTCGCGACTATTTGATTTTTTCGTCGCTAAATCCGTTCGCGACTATTTTATATTTTCGTGGCTAAATCCGTCGCTAATTAGGTACGGAATTAGCCACAAAAATCACATTTGGGCACATTCGCGACTATTTTTTATTTTCGTCGCTAAATCCGTCGCTAATTAGCGACGGATTTAGCGACGAGAATCACATTCGGGCACATGCGCGACTATTTTATATTTTTGTGGCTAATTCCGTCGCTAATTAGCGACGGATTTAGCGACGAAAGTCACATTTGGGCACATTCGCGACTATTTTATATTTTCGTCACTAAATCCGTCGCTAAGCGACGAAAATCATATTCGGGATGAAAATCTCATTCGGGCACTTTCGCGACTATTTTATATTTTCGTCGCTAAATCCGTCGCTGATTTATTTTTCGTCGCAAAATCTGTCGCAAATTAGCGACGACTATTTTTTCATCGCAAAATTTGTGACGGAATTAGTTTTCGTCGCTAATTCCGTTGCAAATTAGCGACAAATTATTTTTCGTCGCAAAATTAGCGACGATTTTTTTTTCGTCGCAAATTAGCGACGGATGTAATGTTCATCGCTAATTCCGTCGTAAATTAGCGACGAATTTTGTTTTTCGTTGCTAATGCCGTCGCAAATTAGCGACGAATTTTTTTCGTCGCTAATTTTTCGTGGCTAAATCCTTATTTTTTTGTAGTGTAAATAATGTATAGTAATACGTCTAATTAATGTTACGGAAGCAGGAGGGAATGGAGCTTTGTGATGGTGTGGCTAAACTATACAAAGCTCCATTCTACCCAAATTTCTTATTATTTATAGATTTTTACTAATCTTGGAAAATTTACACAAAATAACAATAAAAAATAAAAGCAGTCAGACGAGGAGATCACATATAAACCCAAATGATCTGTGTTTCTTGGTTTTTATTCTTGCATTCTTTCACAAATATAACATTTCTTTTTTCTTTCAAACTAAGGTGAAGCTACGGTGCCTATTGAATTTATATGGTTACGGGTGGAACACATTCTTTGATTATCCGTCACATAATCCGAATCTAAGCTCCTCAGGTATATTTCCACTGTTGAAATATTTAACAGCGACGCCGGCATTTTGAGCAGCACAGTTGTTATTGTTCCAAGCACATCAGTTAAGTGATCCTCATGGGATGTCTAGTGAGACTGCCCTGGGATATAACCTTCTTGTCTCAGTGCTGTATGATTTTGGGAACCGACCAGGAGGTTGCGAGATTCTTCCATTATCTCTTTAAGGATGTCAGGTTCCTTAGTAGCGCGAGCTACTTGTCACAGTTCTTCGGGCAAGTGACCAGATACCACGAAAACAAATGACACGCGAGATGGACGGGGATCAAGTGCACGTACTTTGGCGGCCCTTGGTCCTTCATCTTGATTGCTTTTATTTTTTAAAACTCCATTTGTTTCATGAAAAATGTAATATTTTTAAAATATATTTTTCAAGAAGTCATTTTTCAGGAAAATGATAGTATTTTTCTGGTGTTTGGCAAAAACCTGAAAATGAACCGAAAAATATTTTATGTCATTTAGTAAGGAAAATCAGATGGACAAACATTATTGGGGTGTTAGTGATTTTCGCATAAGCATCCATAGAATCGGGTACTGATACCAGGGTCCGAGGTCCGGCCTTGATAGACCACGATCGGGGTGTCGGAGACTCGATCTGACCTCAATGGAACAGGGCGTGAGAGTCGAGGACCCTGGCTTGGGCACCGAGGTCCTAGACCTAACCTCAATGGACACGTGCTTGGCCTCAATGAACCTAAGCGAGAGCACCAGGGTCTCAAGCTTGGCCTTAATTAACCCAGGCGGGCGCTAGGGTCCTAGACTCAGCCTCAATGGACTCAGGCCCCTAGCCCAAGCATCGCGGACCCAAGTAGGGATGCCATCCGAGGTCCAGGCGCCAGGTTCCTGGGCATGAGAAATGAGGTCCTAGGCCCGGTCTCAATGGACACGACACTAGCGCCGGGGATCCGAGCCTAGCCTTGATAGACCCCAGCTCAAGCACCAAGGTCCTGAACCAGGCCTCGATGGACACAGGCCTAGGCACTAGGGAACCGGGCACTAGCACTAGGGTCACGATCTCAACCTTGATGGACCCAATCTCGGATGCGGGGTCTCGAGCCAGGGTGTTAGAGATCCGAGCACGAGCATCGAGGTCTCGAGCTCGGCCTTTGTGGACCCGGGCTGGGGCCCAAGGGAGTCTGGCAATGGTACTGAAGTCTTAAGCCAGGCCATGGGCGATGGTGTCTCGAGCCCAACCTCTATAGACCTGGACCCAAACACTAGGGTTTCGGGCTCGGCCTCTAGACCCAAGTCCGCTACCAAGGGCCCAAGAACAAGCAAGCGTTGGGGTTCCTGTGCCCAAACGTAAAGTTTTTTATCCAAGCGCCAATAATTAGTCAAATTTTGGAAAATGTTTTCTGATTTTTTAAAAAGGAAATCACTTTCCTGAATTTAAACATAGATTTTTCGTTGATTAGGAAAATGTTTTCCGTCGTTTCATTTTCTTTAAACGATCCAAATGTTGGAAAATGTTTAAACGGAGCCTAGTTTTTACTGTCATTCTGGCCTTTTGGCCATTTACGTGCATTATCATCTCAACAACTGACTTACCTCAGAAACTCAGTTTTAGAAACATATTTAAAGAAATCTTATCAGACCAATGTAATTTGCGAAGTACCGGTTTCATTTTTTGATAACACTTTGCTGCTACTCTTAATTTGCTTCCTAGACCGTGCGCTACCACATGGAACTAGTCCATGAGATAATTTAAGGTACAACGAAGACCATTTTACTAACTGCAGGATTTGACCACTCTAGAGGACTTACTAAATGCTAGCCTGCTGATTGAAATTAGCAAACTATAATTCTTTTACAACGGGATCGTTGACTTGCAAGCAGCGGCAATCACTATTTGATGAAGTGAACAAGTCACCCGGGTTCCAATTGCACGCACCAATAATGTGAATGCCATGCATCTTGTTACAGCTGGGAAGATGGCAACCTTGGCCCACTTTGGCATAGTACATATTTGAAGAAATTATGTCATTCAAACTAAAAAATTTTCTTTATTGAAGGATCTTCCTAGCAATTGACAGACAGGTTTTGAATATTTTTAGTCCAATCATCTCCTACTGGATGCACATCCTCAGTTCTACTTCATAGACCATTGAAAGTTAATAGAGGACAATGATGGAGAGGAAAAACTTTGAACTTACTCTAATCAAGCATAACGACCGAAGTTCAGTGAAAACTGTACCATTGCGAAAGTCTTGACAGCAAGTCATCCCAAAACTAATAATATGCACGCCTCCATGAACGGATAGATATTAGCATACTGCAAAAAACCCAGAAGCCGACAACAAATCCGAGTGGCATGCTCATGTAAAATGACTTCATGTCAATCCACTGTTGAAATATTTAATAGCGATGTTGGCATTTCGAGCTGTGCTTCTGTTATTGTTCCAACCTCACAGCAACTTAGTTTCAGAAGCATATCTAGAGAAATCTTATTAGACCAATGAAATTTGTGACGTACTGGTATCATTTCTTGATTACACTGAGGCTGCTACTCTTAATTTGTTTTTTAGACCATGTAATACCAGATGGAACTCCTCCACGACATAATTTATGGTACGACAAAGAGCATTATATTAAATGCAGGATTTAACAATTCCAGAGAGCTTACTAAATGCTAGCGCCGGTGATTGAAATTAGCAGAATTTATTTCTTATACAACATGACTGTGGACTTGAAAGCAGCAGTAATCACTAATCAGACCATTGATGAAGTCAACAAGTCACCTGGGTTCCAATTGCACACACCAAGCTTAAGAATTCCATGCACATTGTCAGAGCTGGGAAGATGGCACCCTTGGTCCAGTTTGGCGCAGTACACGTCTGAAGAAATTTCATGTTATTCAAGCTTGAAGAATTTTCTTTATTCAACAACTTTCCTAGCAATAGACATACAGGTCTTGAATTTCTCAAGCCCAATCATCTTCTGCTAGATGCACATCCTCAGTTCTACTTCATAGACCATTGACAGTTTATAATGGACAATCATGGAGAAGAAAAACTATGAACTTACTCCAATCAAGCATAATGACCAAAGTTCAGCGAACATGATAACTTTGCGAAAGTCTGAACAGCAAGTCATCCCAAAACTGATAATACACACTCCTCCATGGCTGGATAAATATTAGCGTACTGCAAAAACCCCAGAAGCCGACAACAAATCCGAGGGGCATGCTTATGTAAAACAACTTCATGTCAATCCAGCCATTGTCCTCGCGATGTTTGGACCTTTGAGTTGGAACAGCATCTGCTTCTTCAGGATTGGAGGTTATCGGGCAACTTTTGTCAAGTGGAAACCCGCGTAGTCCTTCATCACCTTCAAACGAACCTTCTGAAAATGTGAGAAACTGTTTGCGTGCTGGGATCATTCCGGCAAGTTGATTATAGGAGAGGTTCAGGAATGAAAGGAAGTTCAGATCAGAAAGCTGCACTGGAATTCTCCCATTGAGGTAGTTCTGTGACAAGTCTAGGGACTCGAGCTGCTGTATTTTTCCTAATGAGGGGGGGATAGGACCTGAAAGCACATTGTGCGACAGGTTGAGAAAATAGAGTGCTTGGAGATCTCCCAATGCTTCAGGTATTGGACCCTCAAATCTATTGCTCGAGAAGTCGATTGAGGTGAAAACAGTTAGGATCTTCATTAGTTCTAGATGCAGACCTTTAAAAGTAAGACTAACTGTGTCCTGATAATAGAGATTGCTCAACCGAAGAAACGGATATTGAAGATGCTCAAAGTGCAAATTGACCTTCATGGCCTCCCAAGACATCAGGAAATCTTCAGGAAGCATACCGCTGAAATTGCTGAAAGCTAGGTCCACAATTTGAAGCATTTTCCATGTGCCACTATTGACTGGACAACCAATTTGCCCGTGGAATATGTTGGAATGCAGAACAAGGACTCTCAGGGAAGATATGTTCTTCAACTGGCATGGGAATACATCCTTAATCCGATTGTTTCCAATGTCTAGCACCTCTAACATGGAGCATTTTGCCAAAGAAATTGGGAGCTTTCCTGTCAAGAGACTACCATTAACATCCAAAGTCCTCAAGAGGCATGTGCCTGGGAATGTATGCGGAATTCCTCCAGTCAGGTAGTTATTCCTCATGTTCAACACCTTTAGATTCTCCAACATTAAGCACTGAGGGATGGTTCCCATCAAATGGTTTTTTGAAAGGTCAAGTACCTCAAGATTCCAGGCTTCGTAAATTGATTCTGGGACAGGGCCATAGATATGATTGTTTGAAAGAGAGAAGAAACTTGTGGAACCCAGGTGTTTACCCATATCATTTTCAAGAACTGAACTGAAATTGTTACTTGAGAAATCCAGGTAGACACTTCTCCTTGGCAAAGGTAACGTTTTTCCCTGGACTTAGTTTCTATGGAGGTCAATAACAGACAAAGTATAAGTGAGATTAAGTATAGGTTCTCCCAATTTATCGAAGAAATTGAAAGAAAGATTGACATAAGAAAGAAGTTTACTCTCCCATATCCATTTTGGTATCTCTCCTTGAATTTGATTGTCGGAGAGGTCTAGATAGCGTAATGGTTGATTTTCCAAGAATTCAGGTAACGAACTCAGCTGACAGGAAGCCAGCTTTAAAGTGTATAGAGTGGGAAACTGAACATAGCAGAAGTGGAAGCAGTAGCATTAATTGACAAACCATTGTGGGAAAGATCGAGATATGTAAGGTTCTTGAGCCGCTGAAATGCATCAATGTGCAATGAGCCACTGAAATTATTAGAAGAAAGTAAGAGGTAGCTAAGCCCACGAAGTTCAAAAACATACGCTGGTATGGGCCCCTCTAAATTGTTGCTGCTCAAATCAAGCAGGGTTAGTTGATAGCAAGTGACATTTAGTGACCCACTCAGCTCACCAGAAAACTGATTGTTGGACAAATTTATGATCTTGACCGAAGGAAGTATAAAGAGAGACGGGGGAACGCTGCCCTCCGGTGAGTTGTACAGCAGATCTAGATATACAAGGCTTAGAAGTTCTGCCCATCGGGTGGACTTAATCTCTCCTGTTAGAGCATTGCGGAATAGCATAATCTGTCTCAGATTCTTGGACATACTGAACGAAGGAACTGAACCAGTAAGATTATTTAAAGACAAGTCCAAATAAGTCAGCTCTGACAGGTTCTCCATTGAGCTCAGGATCGATCCACTCAATCTGCAATTAGACAATTCCAATCTCGACAATTTTCTAAGATTACCGATTGAATCTGGAAGCCTACCTGAAATACTTGTGTACGTCAGGACTAGAGTCTCAAGAGAACTGTCCTCTGGAAAATTGGGCAAAGGACCCTGAAGAAGTTGGTTGCCTGATAAGTCAAGGATCCGAAGTGTCTGCACCTGAAAGATTTTACTGGGAATCTCTCTATACAACCCACAATAACTCATATGCAGAACGGTTAGATTGGGGAATCTGTCGAGGAACTCAGGAACTGTGGTTGACAGGTTGTTGCCATTGAGTTCAATGAATTACAAATGATGAAGATTCACGAGGGAAGAGTCGACAGGACCAGAGAGGAAGCAATTAGACATGCTCAGCACATGAAGTTTTCGCACTGAAGAGGACAATGCATTGCACCTCTCATTTCCCTCGGAAGACAGGTCAATGCCATCAAGATGTAACTGTCGTAGCTCCGTGAGATTTCTGATCAAGGTCTTCAAATTGGGATTCTTGAGCTTTAGTGTATCGGTTCCACGGAAATAAAGAAGAGAAAGATCATGAATGCTTAACTGTTAGAAAATTGACTTCGAAAATGAGTAGAACAATGAAGTGAGACTTTGAGGCGTGATATCACTTTCTTTAAGGAATTATTTGCCCCACTAAGTTGCTAATGGTCACCGGTAAATTTCCTTCAGGATACAACAAAGTCTCGATGAGAATACTAGATAGCAATTCTAGTATTTCTCCAGGATCTCTCTACGAAACAATTCGAGAAGATGACTGTGTTTTTTGAGGAATGAAAATCTCGAAAATAAAAGCATTATGTCGTGCCAAAAACCGACGAGTATATATAAACACATTTTAATGAACAATGGCAACCTTTCGGTAAACGGTTAAAATAAACAAATACAACTCTTCGATCGACAGTTTATAATTGAAAAGGTATGCTGCCGAAAGGGTATATGAAAAGACACGGAAATTCGGAATTCATAAAAAAAATATATATGTATATTTTTTTATGAATTCTGAATTTCATAATTTCCAAAAATTCCAAAATGATAAAATAAAAAAAAATAAGAACAAAGTAGAGGATTAGGCTAATTAATCCGCAAGCGCAAGCGTGCAAAGTGCGCCTGATAATCGCATCACCGCACGCGAGTATTATGGGTCTAGCCTAGGGTGAGCATGATGGACCGCCCGAACCGGGACCGGACCGGACCGGACCGGACCGGACCGGCCGGTTTGATCCGGTTCTCGAGAGTATCGGTCTGGTTCCCGGTTCCTAAAGTGGAACCGGTTTCCGAGCGATCCGGTTCCCGGTTCTAGGGTGGGAACCGGACCAGACTGGACCAGACCAATAAATATATATATTTACTTTTTAAATTTTTTGAAGAAAAAAAGAAAGCCTAATCTATTTCCTCTTGCCTTTACCAATTTTTTTAAGGATTGGTTCCATTGGTTCCATTGAAACGTGATTGATTCTATTTGAAAATAGAAAAATAAATACATTTATTTATTTAAAATAGAAAGCCTATTGGTTTCATTGAAACGTGATTGGTTCCATTTGAAAATAGAAAAATAAATATATTTATTTATTTAAAATGGAAAGCCTAATTTAAAAGTAGGTGATCGGTTCCATTGGAACCGGATCGGACCAACAGGTCCGGTTCACGGTCCTAGGATTAGTCGGTCCGATCCTCGGTCCTAGAAAATGAGAACTGGTCCTTCCGATCCGGTTCCCGATTCTTGGGTGGGACTGGACCGGATCGAAAATCGCTCACCCCTAATCTAGGGCCCAATTCCCTAAAAAAACCCCCAACTTTACCCTTTGTCCCAATTATATCCCAAACTTTTTTTTATCTTATAAAAAACCTCAAACTTTTACTTTTGTCCCAAATCTACCCAATTCACTTTTCGTCCAATTTTAATATTATTTTTTATTTTTTCGAATTTTTTTTATTTTTCTTTTCTTTTCTTTTTCCTTTCCTTTTCTTTTTTTTTGTTTCACCTTCTGGCCGATCGCCGGTCCGGCGACCGGCCAGAGGCGGGGGCCGGTGAGGTCGGCCCCCCGGCCCAGCTTGCCGAGCTTGGCTTAGCCGCCGCCCGTTAGCGAGGCGACCTCGCCAATAAGCCGGCGGGGCCGGCCTCGCCAATAGCCGTGGCAGGCCGACCTCGCCAATAGCCGCGAGGCTCGGCCGCCGCCGGCCGGGCGAGGCCGACCTCGCCCGATTCTTGCGGCAGGCCGACCTCGCCTGATAGCCGGCGAGGCTCGGCCTCGCCGGCCGCGTGGCGAGTTCTCGCCCGAGATACGCGAGGCTCGGCCCCGCCAGGCAGCTGGCGAGAGTCGGCCTCGCCCGGCATAGAACGGCGAGGTTCGGCCTCGGCCAGGACCTCGCCGTTCTTTCGGGCGAGGCCGACCTCGCCGGATTCTGCGGCGAGGCCGAGCCTCGCCAGTCAGCGAGAACTCGGCCACAGCCGGCCGGCGAGCCCGACCTCGCCAATAGCCGGCGGGGCCAAGCCTCGCCGTGGCCGGCGAGGTTGGCCCCGCCCAGACCGGCGAGGTCGGCGCTCGCCAAGATCTGGCGAGGCCGAGCCTCGCCACCACGGCGAGGCTCGGGCCTAGCCCAACGCCGGCGGGGCCGAGCCTCGCCCCCGCCGGCCCCCGCCTCTGGCCGGTCGCCGGTCCGGCGACCGGCCCAAAGGTGAAACAAAAAAAAAAAAGAAAAGGAAAGGAAAAAGAAAAGAAAAGAAAAAATAAAAAAAATTCGAAAAAATAAAAAATAATATTAAAAAATTGGACGAAAAGTGAATTGGGTAGATTTGGGACAAAAGTAAAAGTTTGAGGTTTTTTATAAGACAAAAAAAAGTTTGGGATATAATTGGGACAAAGGGTAAAGTTGAGGATTTTTTAGAGAATTGGGCCCCTAATCTAGCCCATAACTCATACACTTTTTTTGAGCACGCAAAAAGAAGCCCACACTTATTAACAAGCCTACTTCACTGCAACTTATCCATGTGGGACATAGAAAAGCCGCTTTTGTTTGTTTTACAAACTTCCAACATTAACTTCCTCAAGCGCGCTATCTCTATTGGAATCTGCCCATAGAATCCAGCATTGGACAAATTCAGATAAACCAGGCCACTGAGATTTGTGAAGCCAGACGGAATTGCAGAGGATTTGAAATCGTTGAAGGCCAAATTTAGCTTTTGAAGATGCTTTAGTCTAAAGAGACTTGACGAACTGTTAATATTGCAAGAGATTGATTCGAAGCTCAAGTCTAGACTGATGACCTTTCCATCCTTGTCACACGTCACACCATTCCAATGGCGAGCGTTCTGATTCCACGTAACCAGCTTAGAAGACACGGATGCATTGAAGATAAGGGTATTTTTCAACTTGACCAGCAACAATTCTTGATCGCCGAGACATGGACTAGAAGCTGATGCCAATGAATGGCAAGAGAAGCCACAACAACTGCAAGGTTCTCATTGAGTGCAAACTTCAATACTCTTTTGCAGAATTAGTGAGTGAACACATACAAGGAGGAGTTTTGTTCCTATTGGAAGGCAGATAAACAGGAACCTCCATGTATGGGATTTCAATGGAGCTGTGTTTGCTCTAATTCTTGTCGCATCCGTATCATTAATTTTTGGGATAAGTGCATTCAAAGTCCTAAAACTTATCACGAAAGTGCAATTGAGTCCTAAAACTTTCATAATGTGCAATTAAGTCCTAAAACTTGTTAGGAAAGTGCAATTGAGTCTTAAAACTTTCAAAAAGTGCAAAGAAGTCCTAAAACTTGTCACGAAAGTGCAAACAAGTCCTAAAACTTGTCAAATTGATTCAATCAAGTCCTTCCATTGATTGTACCTTTTGAAAGTTTTAGGGCTTGATTGTACCTTTGTAATAAATTTTAGGACTTGATTGTACCTTCGTGATAAGATTTAGGACTTGATTGCACTTTTTGAAAGTTTTAGGACTTGATTACACTTTCGTGACAAGTTTTAAGACTTGATAGCATATTTTGGAAGTCTTAGGACTCAATTACATTTTCCTGATAAATTTTAGGACTTCTAATACACTTATCCCTTAATTTTTTAGTCCCTATGTGTGACTATCTTATGTTGATTTGACTTATGAATGCAAATTCATCAAATCACTTGATTGAGCCAGTGGCGGCCTTGGGTGGTTCTTGACTGCTGACGAAGAAAAGCCAAAGAAATAAAAAACAAGAGCATCTCTTTCCCTAGGACATCATTCCCCGCTTTCTACAGTACAAGTTCCCCTCTTGAGAGCAGATATTCATGTTGCTCCCGTTTTATATCTAAAAGGTTCATTGTAATCAGGACCTGATTTTCTTTTTAATTAATGTTCACTATCGCGAAAATAAGGAAATCAAAGATGGAGCTCTCAGACTCGTTTTCCTGTTACCTTTGGATTGATCTTCACAAAATAAGGGCGCGCATGAAATCCATTTTGGAGTAGAAATTCTGCTCTAGAATGCATTCCGAAATAAAAATGTGTTTGTTAAAAAATTTCCGGAATGCATTCTGGAGCAATTTTTACATTCTGGAATAAAAATGCATTTGTTAAAAATACTTGATTCCAGAATGCATTTTTTATTCCAGAATGAGTTTTGGGCAAGAAAAAGAAAAGCTACTTTTTGTAGCTTCTCTCCTCCAGAATGCATTCTCCCTATTTTCTCTCTTTTTCGTGGCATTTACAACACATTTTGAGATCTCACTAATTGTTTTTCAGAAAATGCATAAAAATTGAAAAATTCCAGAAAATAAAAAAAATTCAGATTTCGGGAAAATAGGAAATTTTGTGAATTTTTTCAAAAATATAAAAAAATAAAAAATTTCAAAACTTCACAGAATGGCTTAGAATACCTTTGGGTACCCACTTTGAGTGAAATTTAATTTTTTTGAGGTGCCCAAAAAAATCAAAAAATAAAAAATTTCAAAACTTCACAAAATGGCTTTGAATACCTTTGGGCACCCATTTTAAGTGAAATTTAATTTTTTTGAGGTGCCCAAAAAAATCAAAAAATAAAAAATTTCAAAACTTCACAAAATGGCTTAGAATGACTTTGGGCACCCACTTTGAGTGAAATTTAATTTTTTTGAGGTGCCCAAAAAAATCAAAAAATCAAAAATTTCAAAACTTCACAGAATGGCTTAGAATACCTGTGGCCATCCACTTTGAGTGAAATTTATTTTTTTTAGGTGCAAGAAAAAATCAACAAATCAAAATAGATTTCTATTCCAAAAATCAATTTCTGGAGCAGAATTAGTCATGTTTTATCAAACAGATTTCTCCTCCAAAAATCAATTTCTGGCAAGAATTTGATTTCTGGAGCAGAATGGTTATCATTCGTGCCCTAAGTGATCCGTGTTTCTTGGTCTTTACTTTTGCATCCTTTCCCATATGTCAGATTTTACTTTTGCATTCTTTCGCATATGTCAGATTTTACTCCTTTCAAAGTAAGGTCAAGTCTTCGACCAAAAAAAAAAAAAACTAAGGTCTAGTCCTTATTGTACCTATAGAATTTATGATTAAAGGATGAGCAGTTTCTTTGATTATCCTGTCTCGTGATTTAGAGCTAAGCTCCTGAGGTACATCATTTCTGCCCTTGAAATATATAATCAATATATTGGAATTTCGAGCAGCGTTGCACTGCTACTGTTACTGTTCCAAGCTCGTCTGCACTAACGTGAATCTCGTGAGGTTGCGAGATTCTTCAATGATCTCCCTAAGGATGTTAGGGTCGATATTGGCTCAAGCTATTTGACCGAGTAATTTGGGCGAGTGGCCAGATACCACCGGAACAAATGGCACGTGAAATGGACCGAGATCGAGCGTGAGTGCTTTGGCATGGCTACTACTTTCATTCTCTTTGTTTTTACTGTCATTAAGACCTTCTTTGCTACTTACGAATATCATCATCCCAAGAATTAACCAACCTCAGCAACTCTATTTCGTAAACATAATTAGATAAATCTTATCAAAGCAATGAAATTTGTGACCTGCTCGATTTCATTTCTTGATATCGCTTCGGTTGCTACCCTTAATTTAATTTAGATTGCTTAAAACTTACATCTTCATTGCAGTTAGATCATGTGCGACCACGTGGAACTAGTCTGTGACACAATTTAACGTATGATGGGGAGCATCACATAACTGTTAGGATTTAACATTTCCAGAAAACTTACTAGATCTTAGTGAAGCCAATCGAAATTAGCATACTGTATTTCATGTACAACATGATTGTGACAACTATCAATTGTTCTAAAAGGTTAAGGTGTTAGATAAATATGTGGTTTAATATTTAATTACTCTAACACTCTCCTTCATGCTTAGTCTGATCTTTTTGCTTAGTACTAAACGTGGACATATTTAATTGAAGAGGTAAATGGGACTTAAAAAGATTCGAACTCAAGACCTCCAGCTCTGATATCATGTGACCACTATCAATTATTTTAAAAGCTTAAGCTGTTAAATGAAAGTGTGGTTAAGATAAAAAAAAAAAAAATGAAAGTGCGGTTTAATGTTTATACTCTGTCAATAATAGTTACAGGAAAGCAACAGTCATCACTAATCAGACCATGGATGAAGTAGTCAAACCCAAAAGCGGCATGGACCACCTTTGGTCCTGTTTGGCGGGTACAGGCTCGAAGAATTTTTATATTATCCAAACTTGACAAATGCTTTTGATTGACGGACTTTCGTTCAGTAGACAGACAGAACAGGTCTTAAAATTCTTAATTTGGTCATCTCCTCCGTTAACCATTGACTACTATGGAGAGGAAACACATTAAACTACTCCAATCACGTGTAACCCAAAGTAAAAAAACAAAGAAAAAAAAGTAAGTGCAATAGCTTTCGGTTGACATGACTACTTCAATCTGCTGATTTCTGAAATTATGTTTACGACAAAAACGGAATTTGTTCCGTCAACGGTGATTATATAACTTTGGTAGTAAATTCAAAACATTTTTCATGAGAAAAACATGACCAATAATTTGTTAGTTCAGTCAACTATATTTAAATTAGGATTAATACCATGAAAAATTCTAAATGGATATGCATGTGATAATTTTATCCCGAATTAATTTTTTTATCATAAAAAAATCCAAACTGGTACATCTGTGACAAATTTACTATAAACTAATTTTTTGATCACGAAAAACTCCAATTTGGTACACCTGTTATAATTTTACCCCGAATTAATTTTTTGACCATCAAAAACTCTAAACTGGTACACTTGTGACAAATTTACCCCGAACTAATTTTTTGACCACCAAAAACCTCAAACTGGTACATCTTTGACAAATTTACCCTTCGTTAAATTGGATTAATATCACAAAAAATCACAAATTCGTAAACTTGTGACAAACGGAGGGGTAAAACCCCAAACTGGTACACCCGTCAACTACCGCGTGTCATCAAACTCAGCAATTTAACAGTAAAATTTAACAGAAATTAACAGAGGATAAATTTGTCATATGTATACTAGTTCGGGGTTTTTGATGGTCAAAAAATTATTTCGGGTAAAATTATCACAGGTGTATCAGTTTGGCATTTTTCGTGGTTAAAAAATTAGTTCTGGGTAAAATTGTTACAAGTGTACCAGTTTGGGGTTTTTCTTGGTCAAAAATTTAGTTTTGAGTAAATTTGTCACAAGTGTACCAGTTTGGGATTTTTCGTGGTATTAACCCTTTGAATTACTAATGAATTAACAATTCTACGATCGGCAACTCCAATGGTACCACTTATGTTTAGATTTTACAAGTGAGCGCATAATTATTTGTAAGTTATCGATAAAATAACAAGCAAATCAACATTTTTTAACAGCATTTAATCCACATGAGAATATGACCCCTAAAAAATTCCATATGAGAAAAAATTCATCACTAGAATGGCTCAAAGTTGCACGGAGACCCTTGTGCATAAGTACTGCGAAATTTTGTGGGACCACTGCCAACTGTTCTAAAAGTTTAAGCTGTTAAATGAAGGCATGATTTAATATTTAATTACTATAACACTCCCTCTCACGCTTAGTCTGGTCTCTTTATCTAGCACTAAGCATGGGCATTTTTAATAGTGGAGGCAATTGGAGCCTGGAAAGATTTGAACTCCGGACCTCCAGTTCCAATACCTTGTGAGATTTTGTGGGACGATTGCCAACTGTTTTAAAAGCTTAAGCTGTTAAACTTTTATAACAGTTGGCAGTGCTCTCACAAAATCTCATAAGTACGAGGACTATTTTGAAGAAAAGAAAAGTAAAGGAACGATTTTGAATTTCAAGTAAGAGTATAGGACATTGTTTGTGATAGATACTTTGAAAATTTTTTTCCTGTTTAATATCCTTCTAGTTACAAAGAGGATAAGTTTTTGGACGATTCTTGTTGTGTTCCGTGAAAGAAAATACAGAACACTGTTCTGTATTGTTGAATTCGTGAAAGAGTTGACAACTGTAAAACCGCATTGGTAGCGAATGTTGACAGGGCGATTTGCTTGTCTATCACACGTTATTAACTTACAACTATTTTAAGAGAAGTGCCATCATTATTTGATTCTTTCAA